TTTTTTTTTTTTGTTTTTGTTTTTGTTTTCTTCCATGTGCATCCCAGGGATGAAATTCAGGTCCTCAGGCTTGACAAGTAAGCACCTTTATCCACTCAGGCATCTCATCAGCCCAAGGTTAAAATTTTTTTTTTAATTCTCAAATTTAGATTTTTTTAATTAATGTAATTAAACGACTTTTCTCCAAATCACAGAAAAAAAGGAAAAAAAAACTAGCAAGAGTAGCTCACACCACATAGTACATTGAGTCATGCTCTCCTGCTGATAATTTTTAGATTTCTGTGAAGGAAGAGTTCTCAGACTTAGGAGGTACAGATTAGTGCCACTTCTCAAACCTCCTCTTTGCCCTCCCTGGTTGAGCAATATAATTTCTGCCTGCTGATGAGAAAGGACACAGCTGTCACAGAACTTACTATGCAGGGCTTCATTTAGATCCCTGTAATGTATATCATTATAAAATGAAATATGTGTTAGAGCTCTTTTTAAACTTCCAGATAATTTCCTGTGTAATCTCTTTACAGTTCTGGTAGATTTATTTCATGGTACTGTTTCACATATTTGCACAGAATCATCCGTCTCTCATTGTGCAGACATTCTTGGAATGTTATTTCTGAATCTCATCAGGGTTGCCATTTCTCCTTTTCTCTGTAGGTCTAGGCTGTAATAATAGCTACTGGACTTTGAGATAGCACCCCAATTAAAAATGAATAATTAGAGAATACCATTCATTAATATTAAGGTGCTTTGTAAATCAAATTTTCATTTATGTAATGATCTGAAAAGCATGTATTGTTGAGACCTCATTTTTAAATGGTCAGCATAACAGATTGTTGTATTGTTATATAATAATGCCATTGTCAAATATAAAGGAGGTAAAATACTGTGACAGAGGGTGCGCATTTGGTGACAGTACTGAATAACAATAGAATCGGTAATTAAATTGCTGGTTTATTATTATTGCTAATGAAATATAGTGGTGATGAGGACCAGGAGGACAACCAGCATTACCAATAGCTCCTATCAGTGAGTAACTATCTGTAAAGCAGATTTTAACTTAGATTTTTTTTTATTGATTGGAAATTTACAGGAAAAAAAGTTGAAGGCCATAAGGTGAATTTGTATTTTAATTGAAGAATCTTGAAAATCAGCGTTTTAGTCAAAATCTAGGTATCTCTGAGAGTTTTTCATTGAAATCTTAGGATTACCAGCCTGTGGTTCATGTTCCTGGAGGATAAATGAGCTTCCCAGTCACCTCTAGCATCAACAGCCTGGCCCTGGATATCTAGATAGGTGGGGCTTATCTCTCTGGCCCTTTCAGTTCTGCATTGATGGCTTTTGCACACGTGGTTGACCTGTTTGTTAATAATTTCAGTTGGCTATTCACATCAGACTATATACAAAGTCTCCTATATTTCTTCCTTCCCTGCCTCCTATGTAATTCCTTTCTGAATAGCCTTGTCATAACAAATGATTAAACCTTTCTCGTCTCTTACAACTGAACAGATCAGGTGATTGATGAGGTACCAAGTTCCAAGGACATCTAGACATCTTTACAGCCTGAGCTGCTCTTGCCTCTGCCTCACTTGCTGCCTGTACACTGCTTGTGTTGGCCTGGTATTTTCACGTGAATTTATGTGTTATTCTCTTCTCAGTCTGTCACATTCTTAACCTTCCTGCCCAGTACTTGACTGGGTGTTTGGTGTTGTAGCTCAGTGGTAGAATGCCTGCTAAACATGTGTGAAGCCCCGGGTTCAAGGTCCAGCACCGAACAGAAGCTAAAACATAAAGATGTATATACATATATATGTGTATAGCATATATACTTTACTGAACAAATGTTCAGTTGTATTTTGAACATTTATATTGAGCTAAAGAATCTGCATGATTTATACTGTGATACAGCTGCGTATTGTCCCCTACAGTAAATTCCCAGTTATCGTTGTCTTAAAATCCCCATACAGCAGACCTTTCTCCTGCATTGTCATTTTGTTATTGCAAAACCATTTTTCATGCCTAAGTCAGGGGTAGGGTTGTAGATCATGTGTAAACAGAAATGTTCATTTTGTTAACCATGGATTATAAGCAATATGATGGGAGGGACTCTGCCTGATTCATGTTTTCTTTCCTCAGTGTCTGTCATCTAGTCAACCCTCACAAAGTATTGCAGTGAAAGTGGGTAGGATAGAGATGAGACAGTGAGGAATAGTTGTGTATGTTGATTTTCAGTGTCTTATGTTGTCTTCAACACTGTCATAAATTGGTTTAAGCTGGTCTTTATTAGTATTATCAACTATGTTTTAAAAATAGTTGATGCGAACAATAATTCATTTATCAAGATGACGGTAGTATCATTTCCATTATACCATCAATTCACTCAAACAGATTATTAAGTGATTCTTAGCTATATATAGGATGTTTTACTAGGAAAAAACCTTATCCAATAATAAATATGGGGAGAAGGGAGCGTGTAAGAAACAAGCAAATTGAGTGCTAATGACGTTGCCCAGCCTCTTCCACAGCCATGACTTTCTACTTACAAAATTTTAACTACAAAAAATATCATTTTATTTCTCATGACAAATATTAATAAATTTTCTTGGAAGTCTTCTGTCATTGTATAGAATAGCAGTCTTTATTCAAATAACTGTCCATTTGACCCACCTAGCCTGTGTGCATTTTACTGGAACACAGTAGTGATGCATGTATCTGCTGCTTGCTTTTTCTCCTCTGCCTATCATTTGTCACTTTCCACCTCCAGGCAGAAGGCTAGGCTATTCCTCTCCCTCAGTTTAATATGTAAATCCCTCATGCTCATGAATGTGCTGTGGTAGTATATCTTTTTTGCCACCTTTGATGCTTCCAAATTCATTCTGCTATACAATTTTATATTCTAGTTTGGCTCTGGCCTGTGTCTCATTTTAACCATTATTTTTAAGAAAAGTAGGACTAAGCATTGAAGAGATGATTCAGCAGTTAAGTCTTTGCTGCTCTTGCAGAGGATTAGAATTCAGTTCCCAACACCTGTGTCTAGTGGCTTACAACTGCCAGTGACTCCAGCTCCAGGGGTATCTGATGCCTCTGGCTGTCCAGGGCAATGGGACACACACACACGCACACACACACACACAATTAAATAAATCTTTAAAAATTACAATAAAGGTAATATATTTTAGAGGGTTTTTGTGCTTATTTTCCATATATACATATATATATATCCATGTATCAATAGATGCATTTATATATTATAGGTAAAAAGTGTTCAGAAATTTTGAGTTAAGATGGCTTTGGGATAAACACCAACCACTGTCTATTGGTATTGCATTATTACCCACATTATAGCTTTCATTTATATGATTCATAATGAAATAGTGGGAAAAATAGATTATATATTCTTTCCTTACACCAACAGTAAAAGGACTACTTTCCTCCTACTTTTAAATTAAAAGCCATTTGACGACCATACTAAATTAATGTCATACATTGACCAGCATTGCCATTGTATTATAGTTTTAATTATTTTATTATTTTTAGTCCATGTGTATGATTGTTGCCTGCATATATGTAAGTGCACCTGTGTCATGCAGTGCCTGTGGAGGTCAGAAGAGGGTGTTGGATTCCCCTGGAACTAGAGTTACAGACAGTTGTTAGCCACTGTGTGCATGTTGGGAATCGAACCCAGGTTCTATACAAGAGCAACCAGTACTCTTAACCACTGAGCCATCTCTCCAGCCTCCAACATTGCCTTTTAAAAAGTAAGCCTGCGAGACTGAAGGAATTGTGTTAACTGGTCATGGTGGTGATGCCTTTAATCTCAGCACTGAGGAGACTGAAGTGGAGGACTGTGAATTGAAGTCAGCATAGACTACATATCCAGACTGTCCCGGGGAAATGTGTTAATAAAATATTCAGTAGTGATAGTTGAAAAATGCATAGAAAATTAATTTTTATCAGACAGTATATCTTTGGCAACATATAATGAATATCCAGAAAGAGTTAGGGGAGTGAGAGAAAGAATAGCAGAAGGAAAACACACACACATGATAGAAAGATATTGTCAATGACTATTGAAACTTTCAAGTAAGATATAAAGCTTGTGATAGATTGATTGCAACATGACACATCAACTCTAAGAGCTCATTCATATATGTCATCATGTGTGCTCGCTATGGAACACTGGCAGGTGTATTGCACTTGTAGGTGGAAGAATTGGGCCGAGGAAGGTTGGTGCCCATAGTTGACTGAGTGAAGGTGCGTTCTGAGCCCAGACCATCAGACTGCATCCAGTACTCTTTACATGACACTATGCCTAAAAATAACCGAAAAGTTTGTCAGCTAGTATTCCTGTTCCTCTTCTACTCTTGGTCTTGTTCGTTTATCTCAAAATTGAGTATTTGCTCTGCTAAATTTGTCTGCCTTTGCTTTACCTAGTACATTGAGGCAAAGATTTGATTTTTTTAAAAAAATCTATACATAAAAGATTAAGCTAAACGGTGGGCAGAACTGGCTGCTGGCCCTGCCATTAACTTATGGAAATGTGAAGCTGAAGCATTCCTTGAAATAGGTGCTGTGCTGTGTAGCACTCTTGACAACACTCCTAGACGCTGACAGTATTATGCAATCTCAAGTTAAAGCTCACAGAGTTCACTGCTCTGTGTTTAGTGACTGCAGCCTGATGTAGAAGGGCCAGGGTTTGAGCCCTGTCCTTTCTGTCTCCAGAAGCCTTGACTCTTTACAGTACAAAAAGCTCCCTCTTCCTCCGTTACACAGGAGTAAACAGTACAAAGTGTCTGGCTTCAACACTCTTTGTCTCTCAGATTACTCCGTGGCCTGTCTCTATATCTCTGTGCTTGGGGTTGTCATTTTTCTATGAAGAAAGCCACCAAAGTCACAGAATGTATTTTTATCATTGTCTGAAAGAGGGAAAAATAGGCAAAGGCTATTAGAACTTCTATTCAGTCTATATGTTAGTCAAAATCTATAATCTGTTCATTTATTTATAGTATAAAGATGCATTTATGAAAGCAAATCCTGGCTACAAATGGTGTCCTACTACAAACAAGCCCGTGAAATCACCAACATCCACTGTCAATCCACGAAAGAAACTTTGGGCATTCCCATCTGACTCTTCAAGAGACTTGCCAACCCCCAAGAAAGCAAAGACTGAAGAAATTCCTCAGCTTAACTTTGGAATGGCTGGTGAGTTTACAGTTTCACCTGTTTGTTTAGGACAAAACAGTATAGTTAAGTGTATTTAACAAATTACACAAAGTTGGTGAGAGTAAAACTTTTGACCAGTATGAAGCAGTGACAGCTGTAACATATCTTAAGGTATTTGTACATGCTATACAAAGAACATACAAGTAATAAGAGGCAGAGACCCAATGGTAAATGCCATGAATTCCTGATATTGACAGAGTGGGCATGTAGACAGCAATTTGGAGCTTGTCAGGAGCTTAGGGAGTTTTATTTTATGAAAATATAGATATAACAACATTTACACACACACACACACACAAGCACACACTATCAAGCTACGTGAGTAATCACCACAGTTATCATGGATGCTTAAAAAAACCACAGTTATGTAGATCATCTGATTATTTGATACATTGGAGGTAAGAATATGAACAAATCCATCACAAATCTGAGACGGATCGACAGCTGCATCTTAAAAAGAATTCCCATCCTGGTCTCTCCTCTCATCCCCATTACTGTATGGCCCCAGCAAAGTTAAAATTCCAGATGGTCCCACTTGTTATATTACTCTTTGGGTGGTAAGGAATGCTAAAGCATTACGACCATGATATGAAACATTTATCCTCACCCTGAACATGGCTGGATCTGTATTCATAAGAGAGGAGTTTGCCAGAAGGAACTTGATAGATTGGGTAAAGCACAAGCAGGGAAGTTCCCTTTGAGCTCCTGCTCCATACTACAAGCAAATAATTTTCACATCAGAACCCTAAACCATTTACAATACAGAAAAGTTGGAAAAGGAGATTGAGCCACATTTGACAAGATGCTCTTTTAATAAGCCTTCATAGTTCAATTTTGAGCTTATAATACAAAAAAATATATCTCAGTTCTGTATAAATACTAAAAAGTGAAACTTAACACATGGCAGTATTCTTAGGAAGGAAAATCTTTAGGTGATGGGTGCAGTGTCTCTAGGTCAGTTCCCAAGTCATATTTCTGTGTGTCCAGAACCAAAACAGAGTCTTGCTCCTGCTTTAGCATCACTCTTAGTTTCAGCCCACTTGTTACTAGTATTGGTAAACTCTCCTGGCTTTCCCAATTGCAGCAACAGGAAGTACTTATTTTTTTCTTTTAAAAATATTTTATTTATTATTTTTATTTCATATGTATGAGTGTATTGACTGCATGTATGTAAGTACACCTGTGTCATGCAATGCCCACAGAAGACAGAAGAGCCATTGGATCCCCTGGAACTGGAGTTATGGGTGGTTGTTAGCGGTCATGTGAATGCTAGGAATTGAACCCGGGTTCTCGGCAATGCAACCAGTGCTCTTAACCACTGAGCCATCTCTTCAGCCCCAACATAGAGTACTTTTTAAAACCAAAAGAAGGTGTGGATGTAGAGATTATTGGCTTCTAAACTGAATTTCTTTCATCATCATCTAGCATCAGTTGTTTTTCCCACAATTCCAAATCTAGGTTAATGTGCATAAGGTTTTTTGTTTTGAGAGGTTCTTTTTGTTTGTTTTGTTTTGTTTTTTTGCATGCCGTTGTTTGTCACAAACCAAACAATATTATAGTTAAACTTTAGAAAGTATATAAAATATATTTTTACAACAGTGTTTCTCACATTAATTAATCTGCCTTTTACTTACAAAATAGCAGCGAATCTAGACTTAAGATATTTACAGGTCAGCTTTTAAAAGTGGTGTTCTTTGAAGCAAAATACAGGAAAGAAAATCACCTTCTTGGCATTTACCTCAATAATAATGTCCTATGTTGTGTGCTGGACATTCATGACAGAGCTGTTATTTAGCTTGTGTACAATAAATATCACTGGACTGATATTTCTCTTTATATCCCTTTTCAACTAGATGAAAGTGAATTAAATTGCCTTGATTAAAAACTGATACTTAGTTATCTGAATCTTGGGACTATGAGAAGAATTTTAAAGGCCAGTTTAAGTTTTAACACAGTATGTTTTGTGTTTGTTTGTTTAGTCAGTAGTCCTTGGCATTCCACATATTACAATTTAGAATAACTGAGCTTTGTCAAATGTATGATTTTCAAGGAAGGAAAACTACATAGAATTTAGCATAGTACAAATTCTCTCAGTAAAAGCAAAGTGTGCTATTTATATGAATGATATATGAATTGATAGTTCTAAATAGTTTTATATAAGTGATATATGAGATGATAATTTCTCGGCCAGTCTTGTAGTATGTATATGGCAAACTTCTCACAAAGTTGCATTCACCACAGAACTTAAATAATCATGTAATGGTATTTTTATTTTACTTTGTAATTTAAACTACACATTTTTATCCTTAGAATGCTGTCGTCCAATCCTCCCAGGATGACAGCTGCAAAAACATTTCATTTTCAAAGCACCACCCTAAACACTTATTTTCCACTGAATTCATTTCCCTTCTACACCTTTATTTTTAAATAGATGTTACTATCTATTTTATTAGGGACAGTAGTTCTTAAACTCAATGTTTAATTGAAAGTGGACTCTTAAAAGCAACACCACTGAGCATTTTTTCATCAAGCCCATGTTTGCTTGTGCCCTACGTTGCTGTCTGCCAGTACTGAACTTTCTTAACATTTGATCATTTGGTGGCCTCACAACTTTCTATTTCTTTTAAAACATTTTATTATTTTTATTTTATATGTATCAGTGTATTATCTACATGTGCGTAAGGTACCCATGTCATGCAGTATCCATGGTGGTCAGAAGAGGGCGTCAGATTCCCGTGGAACTGGAGTTACAGCTCTTAGGCACGGGTGCTGGGAATCAAACCCAGGTCCTCTACAAGAGCAGCCAGTGCTTTTAACCACGGAGCCATCTCTCCAACCCCACTTTCTATTTTTAAAAATTTTTATTTTATGAGTGTTTTGCCTGCATGTATATAAGTGTACCACAGGCATGTGTAGTGCCCATGGAGTCCAGAAGGGGTTGTAGGATCCCCTGGAACTGGAGTTACTGATGATTGTTAGCTGTCATGTGGGTTCTGGAGTCCTCTGGAAGAGCAGACAGTGCTCTTAACCACTGAGCCATCTCTCCAACCACACTTCCTGTTTTTTTACCTCTCTCTTCCTCCTTCCTCACTTCCTTTCTTGAGGGGAGTATGCCTCAGAACCTTTTCTCGATTTTTAAAAATATTATGTGTAAGATATGATTAAAATTCTTCATGAGTTCTCAAGAAAGACTGTGAACAACACTGTACTGCAGGGCATACACTTAACCAGGACTAAAAAATAGCTAAGTATCTTCAGGCTGTATTATGACATGGTAATTTGTAATTAGCGAGAACCCTAAAACAAGCATGCATTTACTGTGGACCTGTGTTCACTAGAAGAGACACTTGGGCCTTTTCACATGTGGTTTTTCCTTCTCATTCTGAATTTTAATTTTTAAGCAAGACAGCTTTAAAGAATATAAGTTTCTTATTATATGTGATATTATTATCTAGGTCATAGAGCTACCACTTTGCTGCTTTTATTTTGTCTTTCTGGTTTTGTTGATTGTTGAAAGAATTAAAACAAAATTATTGGCTAACAAAAAAAAAAGTTAATTTTAAATCTTGAAGCACTTTTCAGGAAGAACTTTAGTACCCTAAAGTTTATAATATCTAAAACATACCTGTTATTTCAATTTTCTTTCAAAATTTTTTTAAAGATAATTATTTTCAAAAAGCTTACTAGGATTTTCAGACCCATTTGGAAAATCTCTCTGTCCTATATTCTCTGATAGCCTAGTTCTTTTCAGTAGACCTGATTTTACATGGCAGAAATAACCTAAGATTAACAGTCTTAAACTTCTTAGAAGACAAGTGTAAGTAGTCTGTTGTTTGAAAAAAAAAAGTCTGCACTCCCCATGTTTGGAAAGAAGCCTTGGGTTTGGGAGACGATTCCTGTAATAAAACAACTGTAGTATTGCGGGGAAAAAAAGAAAAAAAAAAATTCTGTGTTGTCTTGGTTGGGTAGCTGTGGTATTTAGAAGATTTAAAAAGTTAGGTGTGGTCATTCCTGCCTGTAATCTCAGCATGTGGTAGGCTAAGGCAAGAGGATCATGAGTTCTAGAATATCTTAAGCTTCCTGGTGAGCCCGGCATAGAAAAATTAATATAAAAGAAAAGGCTCATTAAAGTATGTTCACTAAGCATACATATACTGGTAATGTAAATAAATAATTTTGGAATATTTCCATACAGTTGTATGTGGGTGAATTGGATTTCTGCCCTTATGACTATCCTTTTTTACTCTGGGTGGTTATATGTGCTTCTTGCTCCTAAGCTGATGTTTTTTTTTTTTTTTTTTTTTTTGATCTTTAGATCCTACTCAGATGGGAGGCCTGAGCATGCTGCTGTTAGCTGGAGAACATGCTCTTGGCTCGCCAGAGGTAAGCCAGGCTCTCAGGCCCTCATTCCTCCTCACTATGCTCATACTAGGGCTTCAGAGCATAGGCATCTGTATGCTGCTTGCCTTGCCTTTTCTGCAGTTTCACCACTTACAGCTCCTCAAAGAACCTTATCTGTAGTTCTTCTCATTAAGAAATGTCTGTGCATCTGGGTTGCTGAGGGTAACAGAAGTGGTGTCCATAAGCCAGAAAGACACAAACACAAGTCCACTGTGCAATTTGTAGTTGAGTTAACTTAGCAGAAAGAAATGTAGTACAGATAGTTTCATGTGCCATGTCCATGCCATGGATATATGGATGGCATCTTGTGACCCATTCACTCTCTTCAACACACCGTCTGCTCATAGAATGCTCTCATTTAGATTTGCTAGTGGGAAAATGACAGTAAAAATATGAGACTGTCAGTCTCTCTAGTATCTGAATAATTCCAAACTCCTATTTGAATATGTGGACTCATAGCATTCCAAAAGTTTTTCATCCTTTAAAAGGGAAAAGGAAATGGACCTTGGGCCCTCATGACCTTAGTTCCATGATCTAGTTATTAAACTGCTTTTGCTAAACATTTATAGATATGATTCTTCTCAGATAGTGGCAGCTAACCACATTTGATTTGCATTTGTGGCATTCTATTTTCTTAACAGAGATCAGTTGAATTAACCTGCAGGTCATGTTATTTTATTCCATTCTAGTTCTTGAAATGGAAATCTTTAATCCCAAACCAACATAGCTATTTAGAACAAGATAGCACTCAGTTCAATTCTATTGCATGCTTCTACTGTTTACTTTTGGTTTAAATTTTGAATATGTCATATAGAGTAAGTAATCTATTCAGCTGTACAGGCTGTTTATACTGTGGGACTATTGTTATTTGTAGTTTGTATATGAGATCCAAAGTTATTGACTCTATATTCAATTTAGTTCTTCTGATTCTTTTTCCTTTAATTTAGCAACAAGTATAAACTTGTTTACTAGTATTTGTTTGTGAACCTTCAACTGAATAAACCATACACATGCCTCTGTGCCTTTTCATGCACATTGTTTAGCATGTTTCTACTTTCTAACAACAGCATTGTTGGGTATCATTTCTCTTTCTAATACATAGTATGATCTAAGGGAAAATCACTCTCACTTGGGCATAGAGTATTCCAGATGTGTTCCGAAGGTGGATGTTGGAATATGAACACATACTTGACCTTTTAGCAGTCTGACTCATGGCCAAGAATGCACTCCGTAGTGAAAGTCAGCATCATCCTTCTTCACAGATTGGATTATGATTTTATTCCCAACATCTTTTATCTTTCTTTTACCTTTACAGAACAAATATAAGCAAATCATCATTCCAGAACTTCTAGATGCTAGTCAAAGAAAGGATAGTATTTTTCTCCTTTGCTTCAAGTTTTGCTAATTGTGCTCTTTTCAGTAAGTTATCTTACTCCTTTTAAAGCAGAGTTTTGACATCACTGCAGTGATGAAATGGAAGGATTTTGAGAACCCTCTGGATAAACAATGACTAATGAAGTTGGCAATATAGGAACAGTGTACTGTGTCAGTAGTTATGTCTTTAAGAGTCTGGCTCAGTGTTCATGTTTCCTCCCCTCTTCTCAGAAATACTTATATCATTACTCAAAATAATCTTGAGCTATTGGAACATTAAAATAGTAAAAAATTATGTAAAACAATGTTATCTCCAAGTAACAGTAGAGAGTTTAGATACCAATAGACTTCATATAACCCTTGGTTTTCTACTTGTACATTTTTGTTACAAATATGTTGACATGGCACATAGAACTTTAAGCACTTACATAGGCAGATTATCAAAGATAAACATAGCAAATATGTATTCATATTTTTCTTAAAGTTAATAAGATTATAAAATGAGAACAATTCAAAATTTTCACGTTTCTGACATTGGAATAATTACTGTGAAGTCTGATATTATTCAGTTTGACCAGTTAAAGTGACATTTTACAAAAATTCTACCACTGAAAAGGCATCATCATAAAGGGTCTTAAAGTGACATGATATAGAATGCTTATTCTGAAATAGTCTTAATGGGAGGAGGGCTTTCTTTATCCATTAGCCTGCTATCTAACTCCATACAAAATGTCCTAAAGATGTTGCTTTTTTTAAGTGTGAAAAAAAATTAATGTAGGTAATAGTTTTTATTTAAATAATACAAGTAATTTAGGTAATAGTTTTTATTTAAATAATACAAGTAATTTCTTTTTATTGTAACTAAAATAATAGAATTCTGTTTAAAAATTCTTTGGTCGCCACAGTTTCCTAGTTTTACCTAACATGCCATTGGCCTTATGAGAAAGTTTAGTTTCTTAAGATGTCAGTGAGTACATAATAACAATGTTTGAGCTTTCTCATTTTCCTCAGTCTTATAATTTAGATCTATGACATTGTCAGTTGGAAGTTTTTATGTACAACCATTTCTGAACCAAGCAAGGCTTTATGATCTCAACTGCAGTAACTCCAAGTCTCTAGCAAATAAAAGGGATGAATTTTGACTATAATTTGATTTTTTTTTACTGTTCACATAAATAATTCTTTATACCCACATGATATGTAAGAACTTGACTGCTTAAGATTAAAAAAAAATTAAACTGTATTTGTTTTATAGAATTTACTGATTTCAGAAGAAGAATTGATATACTGAGCAAGACAAAGACAGGAAAATTGACTCCTGGCTCAAAATGACAGACTAAAAGTTGCTTCTACTAAGAGTCTGTAGCATACACACCTCATCAGGAAATAATCTGTAATACAGAAAGAAGTGGAAGGATGTGATGTGGCAGTATAGCAAATGATTCAAGCTAGAAATCAAAAGTTACTTAAGTGATAACGTAGAAGAACCCCATTGAGCTTTAGTATAGAGTGAGCCAGACTAAATGGAATGCCCAGAGATTTGAGTGAATGTATACTTTATCGTTGTTGTTTTTAACCTTAAAGGAAAAGGAAATCAAAAGGCAGAAGGAACAAAAGTAATAATCTTTTCATCAGGCTCTGGGAAGAACTGAAGGAGGCAGTTAGAAAGTTAAGCTTTTAAATATCATATCAGAGTTATTGAAAGATAAAATGTAATAAGTAAAGTGAAAATATTTGATCTAGAATTACTAATAGTAATCTCTAGGACAAAGAATTTTCTATTATGTGTGCCAGTATAAACCTGTAGAACTAAATTAAATTTTAAAAATAAAAGCAGAGGATATTACAATTCAGAGTGTGTATGGAAGGACAGTTATTCAGTACATAATGTATAAAGTTCTTTGGATTAGTCTCAGCAAGGGCAACATTTGCTGTGGAACCCAAGTGAGCAGCAGAAAGTCCTTTTGGTCCGAACAGAAGGAAGTCAGATGGAAAGAAGAGAAGTTAGGAAGAACCGTCATGGCTGATGAGAAGTTAGAAGGCATCTCTGTTCAGTTGAATGACTGAAGCCAAAATTAACAATGTATGAGAAGTTCCTTAGACTTTGTGTCTCTTGCTTTTGAATGCCTGGTGGAATGAGTAGCTATGAGGGTGCTTTTTTTTTTTTTTTCCTAGCCATTTTTGCCTTGCTTTCCATCCTATAAAGTGGAGCTGATAATACCTGCATCCTGTAACTCCCAAGATTACCATAAAGATTAATTAAGTTAAACCTCTAAAGCATTTTTAACTCCCCTGAAAAGAATTCTTATAAGCATACAGTATCATTACCATAAGTTATTCTAGGCATTTTATACTCAAAAGCTTAAATCATACCCATTACTCCTGTAGGCTGTAATGTACTTTACCAGCACCAGCATGCATGCATCTATCTTGTACACACACACACACATACTTTGTCAGTTGAAACCTTGGAAGAATTTTAACTTGTCTTCATCACTAAGTGATCAAGAAAAATTAACTTAATATTTCATTTAGCTGACTGCATCAGTTTGTGCAGGAGGTGCTAACAGATGGAGGCACTCCTTCAAGGACCATTGACGCCATGCTGCAGAAGAACCGGGCAGTAGGAAACTGCCATCTTTTTGTACAGTTAGATGAAAAGTATTTATGGAGTGTCTTCTGTGTATAAGACGTGTCAGAGAACAGACCATACACAAATATCTGCCTTTTATGTAGCTGATACTCTGTTAAGAACCAATTTTTTTAAAGAAAGCAAGTCCTCCACATGAATTTTGACTTTAAGGAGATTCCTATTGGTTGTCTTTTTTTTTTTTACCATACTTGCCTATTTAAAAAACAAGAAATTCATGTCTGATTGAAATTTGAAAATAATACATTTCTACTTCTCGAAATGCAATAGTAATCTTTCACCTCTTCTAGAAGCTCATGATTTCTTAAGGTAAACTTCTATTTACTAATCCTTATAGCACCATTACTACTAAATACATTATAGCACTTGATTATATTTGCTTTATACTTATTTTAACATTATAATAATAAAAGTCTTGTTTTTGTTATATTTTTCTTCATAGGAAAAAGTTGTTAAGTCGACTTTAAGTACCTTGGGTTCAGGAACAATAACAAGATTGCAACTCAGCATTTGCTTGCAGTGTAGTTAACTATTACAGATAACTTTTATTGAATGCTATTTCCATTCTAAGTGCTGCTCCTAAATGTAAGAGTACCTTGTTCTCAAGCATAACCCTATGTATGAATTGTCTTGTTGACCTCATAAATACTAAACTATTAGTTGAGGGACCAGAGACAAAAAGGATTATGTAGCTACCCATTATGGTCTAGCTACAAAGTAGTAGAACTGAGATTGTACCCCAGCAGGTACCCAGTCTTTGTGTGGCATCCAGAGGGCTTTGTGATTCATTTACCACCTATCTAACCTCAGCCCTGGCTACTTCTGATGTCCTGTTATACCCATACTCAAGCTAATAGTAGCAGAGCAAAGTATTCCGTGATTGATTTCAGGGCTAGGTGCAGTGCCAAGCCTTTTACATTGATGAACTTATTCTGTCTTCCCAAGAATCCTATGGTGC